GATTGTGATCTGCTTCCTCTGTTTGCCCCTCCACTGCTACACTCTTTTACGCACGATGCGAGGGAATTCATGTTGTCTTTGATCTTTCTTATTAGCCATGTGCCTCCCACCCACCACCCAGACAATTCAAATATTGCATAGCGTTCCTGAAATATTTGTCGCTCCCTGAATCCCAGAACCTCGGTTCTGACACTTCCTCACATTCGCCTCCCAAGTGCTAGCAATAATGATCAAAATATCGAATGCATTTAGCCTTTACTTTATTAATTTCTTCTTGCTTTTAATAAACACATACATTTTCGCCTGAGCTACATCCCCATCTCTTTCCGTTTTTCATCACTTTTTGCCACCTTCCCCCGGCAAAAAGTATTTCCTCACTATAAAAGCGGTTTATCTCGACAACTAGTTCACCAAACAATACCAAATTACAGCAGTAGACTTTCGTTTATCCATAGTTTATTGTATATTAATTTCAGTCTTGTTGAACAACTTGCCAGTTTCTTTGAATCCTAGTAATTTTTCACAAAATGACTACGCCAATCTCTCAAAGCCTACAAGGTTTTGACATCAGTCAGTTGCCCATGTTACTTGAGCACATTCAGCAGCAACTTGCCTCAGTTCAGGAGAAAGTACATGAACATGATCACCTCTTGGAGCGTATGAACAAGTTAGAAGAGGAAAACCAAGCCCTAAAAAAAAATCTTTTGGCCAAGGACCTGGTAATTCAAGAATTACAGGGCCAACTATCACGTGGAACTACTCAAGCCCCTACACCTGAGGTAGATCAGGAACGTCCGTTCATCTCTCAGGTCGTACAGTCCCAAGATCCTGCTACTACTGCTAGTACCACTATTGCTACCGATACTGCCACTAAAGGTAGTTATCTCTCTGCTGCTCGCTCTGGAGCTAAACGCCCTGATCCTGTTCGTACAGCCAAACGCCGTCTTGCTGCTGGCCGTCTCTTCCAATCTGCTGCTGTTAAGGGCCAACAGGGATACCAATATGTCTACCTTGGTAGATCTGGTAAGATCCAGCGCTCTGAGGTTCGTGCTACCCTCCGAAAGGTTGGTGTTGATACTGGTCGTGTTCTCGACATTTGTTTCCCTGCTTCTGGTGTTATTGGAGTTCTGGTCCATATCCAATATGTCGACACTTTTCTTGCTTACATGCACAAGTGCGAAGCTGAGCTCATCGAGAATTTTGAGCCTCTGGATCCCAAGCACATTGCTGATCCCCAATATGCAAACCTTGCTATTGCGGATCGAGAACAACTGATCTACGAGTTTACAAACACTCGTGCTCTGCAAACTCTTTCCTTCCTTCGTCCTCTCAATGTCAGTGGTGTTGGAAAATACTTTGTCTCTGCTGGATGGATTTCCCAAGAGGAACTTGATACAGCTGTTTCCGAAGCCATGGGCCGCCTTGCTGTAAAAGAACCCAAGAAGGCTCAATTCTTGCTCAAGCGTAGAAAAGCTTCTGACAGCAATGACTCTGCTATGGAACTCTAATGAGCTCTATAATACATCAGAGTCATATCAACAACAACCCTGTCCACTCCTTTCCTGTCTCTCTTTCCCTTTGGAATGCCAATGGTCTCCGTCAATCAGTTGTGCACGATGTCCTCTCACATGTATTGGATACGCATGTTCTCCTTGTCACTGAAACTTGGCTTCTATCTGGTTCTTTCCCTTCCGACTGGTCTCAATTCCATCTATATGGCACAAAAGTACCTGGCGCTTTTGGCCGTGGTTCTGGTGGTGTTACAGCCTTTGTCTCTCCTTCCTGTCCTTTCTCTGTCTCTCAACTCCCGTCTTACAATCCTCACACTCTGTCCCTTAAGGTTGGCACCCTTACGGTTCATTGTGTGTATCTGCCTCCACCCTTATCCTCGGATAAGGTGCTCTCGCTCCTTCGCTCGTTACCTATAACTAGTGATACAATCCTTTGTGGTGATTTCAATGCTCGCTTTGGATCTCTACTAGGTGATACTACTGCTAATCCCCGTGGTAACTCTCTACTACCATGGATTGAGGAGGCTTCGTTGTCGATCCTCAATGAGTCTCTAGCTTATGGTACACCCACCTTTACAACATTTCGGCGACAACAAGAGGTACACAGCATCATTGATCTGTTCCTTACCAACATTGGCGAGACGGCTATGTTGAATTCTCAACTGGTGGTTGACTCTGATCTGTCCCTTGGTTCTGATCATCGGCTGATGGTACTTACTTTCGAGTATGTGCCCCCTCCCGATGATACTCTTGGTTCTGGTAACTCTGGTGGTTTGGCCCCTAGACGGCAATGGAAGCTCTCGAAATTGAGGAAAAAGCGGCCTTTGGGCTTGCTTCGTGAATCCTTTCGATCTTCTGTTGCTCCTTTGGTTGATTCTCTCTCTGGTTTGGTCTCTGCTCCTGATGGAGTTCGTCCTGATATTGATGCACTCAATGATTCTCTGAATTGTTGTTTGTATGAATCTCTTGACGGGTCAATTGGTGTGAAATCTGGTCGCCCTGGTCACTGGAAAAAGTACTGGACACAAGAAATTGAAGATGCAGCTCGTGAAAGAGATGCCTCATATAGTCGATGGCGATGGGCAAGTGGCTTTGCCAAAGTTGAAACATGGGGTATATATCAAACTGCTCTTAGACGTTTTCGCTCTCTGATACAGGCTGCCAAAAGAAAGTCGTGGAACACATTCTGCTCTAATCTGGAAAAGGATTTCTCTAAAGCTACTGCTGCTATCAAACGCATAAAGCGAAACAAAGAATCCTCTGCTACTTATAGCTATCCAGATGGTCCAGCTGCTTCAGTAACAGCAATGGCATCACATCTTGCATCTGTATACAATGGTACACTCCTTAACTCTGCTTCTCGTCCTGTTGCTCCTAAACCGAATGTATCGGATCTACCCTACAATGATCCCTCTGTTACAAATCTGTTTGATGCTGATACTATTGTCTCTCTGATTAAGCGATTGCCAAATGGAAAAGCTCCTGGTCCTGATCATCTGAAAGCTGAAATGCTGAAGGCTCTAGCATCTGACATTGCACCCGTATTGTCTCTGCTATTTACGCTTTGCTCTCAATGGTCGTACACTCCTGTATTGTGGCGACATGCTCAAGTCTTCCCCATTCACAAGAAAGGTGATGTATCTGATCCTGCAAACTTTCGTCCAATTTCGCTTACTTCGGTGATGCGTAAATTGTTCGAATTCTCTCTGATGCCTGCTCTTGATGAACATTCGCCTGCACTTGATGTTGCTCAAGGTGGTTTTCGTCCACAACGTAGTCCTCTGGATCAAGCCCTCTGTTTACATGACTTGATGCATGACTACTTCCTCACTCATCACCACTATCCTGTTGTAGCCTTTCTGGACATCAAATCTGCATACGATACAGTGGATCGCAACGTTATTTGGGATGCTCTTGCTCATTCTTCACTACCTCGTCCAATCCTTAGTTTATTGATCAATATGTTCGATGATGTACTAGTCTCTGTACTGATTGCAAACCACAACTCTGACCCTTTTTCGCCTGCTACTGGTGTACTCCAAGGTTCAGTGCTCAGTCCGCACTTGTACTCTCTGTACATCAACTCTCTGCCTGCTGTTCTTCGTGCTGCTGTCAACCGTGGTACTATGGTATCTCCACCCGGAATGCATCCTGTTCATATCAATAGTTTACTCTTTGCTGATGATGTGGCCATATTTGGCTCTCGTACTGATGTGCAAACCATGTTGGATGTCGCTTCAGATCACTCGTTCTCTCTTGGCTACAGATGGAAACCATCAAAATGTGCTGTACTTTGTGCTCCCACTGCCTCTACTCGTCATCCATTGTCCCTATACGGTGAACCTCTTCCTGTGGTAGAGGAATTCACGTATCTTGGTATGCCGTTTAGATATAAAGGTCTGTATGCCCCTGGGATTCTCAATCTGCGTGCTTCTGGTGCTATCAAGACAATGGCATTATTGAATTCGGTTGGTGTCAATCGAAATGGTTTTTCTCTGTTGCTTTGTGCTCGTTTGTATAAAAGCTTTATTCGACCCAAGCTGGAATACGGCTTAGCTATATCGCATCTCTCTTTCCGTGACTTCAAGGCTCTTGATGCTCTGCAAAATCGATTGGTTGGTATGTTTGTTGGTAGTACGTGGTACAATGTTGCCAAACATTTGACCTGTATTCCCAGCATGAAGCATCGATATAATATCCTGGCAACACGTTATGCTCTTCGTGCTGATACTCTCCCTGATGATTGCTTGTTGGTTCTGCTTCGTCGTGGATTACTGTACACTCGTCTAGACAGATTTATTTGTCAAAACCCGTTGTATCTGACACTACCTGATCCGCCGCCATTCACCACTGCTGGTCTTACTGAAGTCTTTGATTCGTATTGGCAAGATCAAGTAGATCATCAACTTGCTGCTGCTGCTGTTTCTGGTACCCAGACCCTCCTCCGTGCTTGTCGTCGTTCTGTATCTCGTCCAGATCCCATTTTGTACCTACCAATTGGTCGATCTGCTCGAAGTCGCCTTGTTCGCTGGCGTCTTGGACGTTTCACAAACATGCGTGAAGAGTGTCCGTGCGTGATGGGTGATTTTATACAGTGCGCGAAAAAAACGTTCCAGTGTTTTGCCAATTCGTAGTTTTACACTTACAGCTCTGTCAATTTTTTCCAGTTTGAAAACTAAAGTAAGACTACGAAAGTTTGGGTTTTTGGCCATAAAATGAACTACTAAAATAATTGATACAGTAGATATTGAGCTAGTGCAACTGACGTGAAGTAAAAAAATTCGATTTTGTAAAATTGGAAATATCGCTTGATGACCTTATTGTTTGTATACATTCCACAAAAATAATCCGAGAGCCGTAATTTTTTATATCAGTTATGTTTAAAATGTTAGTTATCCGAGGAATGCTTAAAAAAGTATAAAGAAGCCTGAGATTTTGGTCTTTTCCCTCATTATATTTTACCATCTTTACTTCATCACTTTTTTTAACATGACACGTCCCATTCCTCAGGAGGTTCAAGGATCTGTCAACGCTCTTTTCAACCAAGGTTGTTCCCTCCGTGCCATTCAAAAAATCTTTCCAGATTTGTCTGTCAGTGTACGTTCTCGCTATAGGAAGAAGTTTCTTGGTCATTCAAAACATGCCAAACCCGGAAGACGCAGCAAAATCACTACGCAGAATATGAACTACATTGAGAGGAATCTCCGCAATGGTAATTTAGACGGCCCCAAGGGTGTGCAGTGCTACCTTGCTCATATGGGAGTTCAGATGACTTTGAGGAATATACAGTATATACTCAAGCGCAAAGGGTTCAAGGCTAAAAGAAAGGTAAATATCACTACGGCCCAACTGATGTTCTCACAGAACATCGATGCGCTCTTTTGGGAACATCGATGTTCTCGTGAGCACCTCGATGTTCCCATATCAGAACATTTGGCTTTACACTGTGAAGATAGTTATCAGATATGCGCTTTTAAATGGTATGGTCAGACTTTTTGAGTTCTTTTGTTTATTTTTCGTACCGAACGCCAATTCGTAGCATCATTATCTACGAAGTTAGAAGCCTCCAAACTTGCTCAATTTGAAACAAATCAGGAGAAAAATCACGTGACCCGAGTTTCTGGTTACTTTGAGTCGCTATGTCAAAGTGGTAATATTCCTGACTAACAAACTGAAGGTCGCCAGTTCGAATCCGAGCAAACTCGTTTTTTCTTCGTTGGACGTTAACCTTGCTGGGTTAATTATGCTTTTCTCAAAATGCTTTGATGGTCAGTGATGCGGATCCTTTTCTTTTATTATTTTTTTTTATAATTATTTTGCGCATGCCTTCATGGACAACAAAGCTGTAAGAGGTATACAAGTATGATTAATGAATGTAGCTATGTATTGTATTGACAAATGTATTATCTTTTATTTCGTAGCCTCAAGTGGGTAGTTTTACGCGAAAGCAAAAAAAAAAAATCTGTATGTTGCGATTTCAATCCTCGTTAAAGGTTGCGAATATCGCCAGCATCGATCGACATATCTTGTTCAAACGCATGGTAGTTTGCAATGACGCTAAAGTGCAAGTCGTTATCCAAAGATTTCACCAATCCCACTTGCATCTCAACATCGTCAATAGAAATGACAGCATACTTGGGATCAATCACTCTCGGCACCCTTCTTGCAATTTGTTGTTCGACAGGCTCATTCATACGAACAAAAGGGACAGACCTGTCGTGAGAAGCAACACCATGATTTTTCATGGTTTCAACGAAAGCCAAAAAGTAGGTCGACCCATCATAGACATGTTGGAAAAAGAATATCACTCGCGAAACAAACCAACAGGAGACAGGGTGGTTAAGTCGATTGAGGTGAGTTGACCTAAACATGACCAGATGGTTGCTTCTACAAAACTCATGCATCTTCTCTCTGTATATTTCTGATCCTATGACAGTAGAACCGATTAGAGCACGATGGGCAACCTTGATCGTCATTGACAATGGACTGTTCAGCCTTTGAAGAGAGAATATCCTGCAATAGTATTTCGACAAAGCACGCTTGAATCTTGCAATTGGAACACCATGGAGTTCAGCACGATCAGTACCATCGAAGCCAAAATGATGATCCAAATTTGTCTCTTCTTGATCAGGTTCCCACAACTGTGAGCTTGTTAGAGATTCTGGATGATTGAGGTATGTGGTGGATGCATATGGCTGCGGTCGAATGCCTTGGAGGAACTCATTTGAGTCGAAGATCCTTTTCAGCTGGTTTCTGATTGCAACAATTTCAATCAAGTTGGAAGATTGCTTGCCTGTCCTTGACTTGCCAGTTATCAAATCACCAAACTTTCCAATGCTTCTGTAAAATGGATGATGTTGTTATGTAAGTAACTGGATGTGTGTGATAAACATAGCATGTATAGATGACTAACCGTTCTTGACTTCGTGAGGAGTAGGCTACAATTGGCCCCATTTCTCTTATCATCCACACTACATGTGTAAGCTGATGCATTACGGGACGGAAGACCGAAAGTGACAAGCACATGGCATCTCTCTGAGCTTTGCAGTAGTCAATGAAGAAGTCAATGCATTCATCAATCTCTGCCAACCTAGACTCAGTGAACTCCCATTGCAATGCAAGACAGACGCCTCTAACCAGCTTCATGATTGCTTTCCTAGCCTGTGGACTGGCTAATTCTGGGACAAAGAGAGTAGGTATGATGGTCTATTTCAAATCAGAATAATCAGATCCTAATTCACGCCTTACATGTGTACGTTTGCAGATTACAGTGGATCTGATCTTACCAGCAAATTATCAAGATAGTCAACACTGCGGGTGCCTCGTAGCTTCTCCACCAGATTCAAAAAGCTTCCATCAAATGCAACTGGTATATGTGATCTTGTGTCCTCAATTGCTTTGCCAATCTCGAACAGCCGTTGCTTTGGAATGAAAAATGGATAATTTTCTCGCTCCAATTCACCATCTGGATATGTGTAGAAGAACTTTGTGTTGTTCGGAGACAGGTCGACAGTGAGCATCTCGAAGAGTTCTGAACCAACACCTCGTGCTAATGTATGCATTTCTTCGAATCCAAAGCATTGGGGTGCAATGCATGACGATAGCTGATTGAAAAGGCTGACACCGTTGAATCCAAGGTTGGACTCAGCCCTCTCGTAATCTTCATTCGTACGCATGCTTCCAGCATTTGGAAAGTACATTCCATGGCTGCGATTATCAGGGTGCATACCACGCGAAAGACACCAACGACAGCCATACTCAGATGCATGATGAGCACACTTGCTCCAGTCAAACACGGCTAGAATAAAGCAGGTAGGTAAATCAATTTCATGTTAGCCATTGTGGATGCTGATTAGTTGCTTTATCAATCAGGATATTTACCTGGAGTATCACCACCACAAATTAGAGGATGAACCTTCAAACGAATTGGCCCAGCATCATTTGTTTCGACTACCATTCCATACGTAGAAAGCCACTGGAGCTCTGCCAAGATGATGGAAATGAACGAGTCAAATGATTTGGGCTTCTTTTTTCCTGGAAAGATACAAAGCTCGTGCGTGTACTCCTCCTTGTAACGCTTGTGTGGATCGTAATTGAACACCATCAGATGAATAATTGTGAATAGCCGATCACCTCTCTTTTCAACTACAAAGCCATCATTCATGATCGCAACTGCGATATCCAGGTCATTTGTGAAATGCGTATTCTTGATGGACTTGTACGTGGCGCCGTCAAATACGTCGGCAATGATAACATCGGATGGATTCTCTTCAAGGTCTCTGTTGTCGTAGGCATGTCGGTACCGAAGCTCCTCTCTCGTTATTGGATTCGCAACTAATCGTGATACGATGTCTCCAATTGACATGACTTTCATTGTTGACAGGGCTCGAAGATCTCCCCGTGCATCGTATCTTTCATGGGAACAAATATCACAAATTGTCTCCTCGTCGTCTACTTCCAATGCGTACAGCTTGCAGCCATTGATACACACATCATATTCATGGGATGTCAACGATGATTGGCGCTGAAGCATGCTTTGCACACGAGGGCCATGCATGATCTCCGGATTGCTTTCTATCAGTTCATGGGGGGAGGATCGGAAGCTGGTGAGTTATTGTATAAATGACATGTCATTGCAATGCGAATTACCTCGACTAATTTTTTCTGTATCTCTCAAAACAGTGTTCATCAACCTGACCAACTTTCTGTATGCATCCCGTGGTATAGCAAAATCATTGACGATATCATACAGCTCAATCGAAACCAGTTCTGTGGTTGTATATGTATTTTGGTTGATGTCTTCGAGGGATCTGCAATCGTAGAAGCAAGCCTGATCTTCTGCATCTGGGTCGACTACTCCAACTGTCTTGTATTTGACATTTAGCAAATCAAATTCAAGCCCTGGTTCTTCTGGATTGTCTCCTGTTATCGCATGTGTGGAATCCGCTATTGTGAGTATATACATCTACTTTAGCGCTGAAATTCCTTACCATTATTATCGACAATAGGCAGCAGATCAGCAGCACCCGGCGTCTGTTCAAAGCCTGCGTAGTCATAATCAGCATCGTCAGCAGCAGGAATCATTTCTTCAATATCACTCATGGCATCATCATCATGCAGCTGGTTTGCATGATCTGAATTGGCTGTGACTAGCGCACTGGGGGGAGATTGTGGCTGTATCAGCGTTGTTTCCACTGGAGGTTGCTCTTCCATTTCAACATCTTGATCTTCATTCAAAATGGGAGCACGACAGTTTCGGCGATGGTTGCGTAGAGCACGGGCACTGTCAAAGCTGGTATAGCAATTTGTACAGAAGGATGGCTCTGTTTCTCGTGATATACGGATTGAGAATGACATGTTTGGAGAAACCAAGAAAAATAGGCAAGTAAAAACAAATTTCAAGTGGCAGCTTTATATACTAATTCAAGTTTTATTTGCGCTCGCCAACAAATGCGTTTATCATCGTTTACAAGCAAGTGATACGTAGTCTTGCATATAACGTTTGGTAACTCAAAGTCCAAGATCAAGTAAGGAACGTGTTTCCTATGATGTGATATGTCGCCTCAGGCTACTTCTACGTCATTTCACTTTCAACATCATGTCAAATCGAGTGGTATTCACTGTGCACATATGCTTATACTATGGGCGTACAATGAGGTCAGCATTACTTGCATGAAGCCTGTGAACCGAATGACGTTCAACAACGTGGTGGTGTGTGCGCAACGAGATATACGGTACAACACAACTCTGAACATATCTTTTCTTTGCTTACTAAACTTTTATTATCAGCGCGAACCATGAACAATAACAACAACAACAACAACAACAACAACAACAACAACGCTGCCAGTATTGACTTCACCGCAAGACTCTTGCAAGAAATGATGGCAATGAGATCCGAAATCAGCCAACAAGGCGTACAACTGAACGTCTTGAATGATGGATTTCGACAGCAATTCATGTCGCCATTGGAAGACGCAGGCAGCGATTTGGCAACAAGAAGCATCCTGGATCCCACTTACAGAAGCCAGGTACTATCAAACAGCAACAGAAGAGGTCCTCGGGTAATTGAAGCAAACCCTACCGGCAGGGCCAGAGCTTCTCCTGTGGAGAGATACAACGCAATGCTCCAGCATCTACACAAACTATGCAATGGGGCATCTGTACCCGATTTGACACCAGGGCAGCTCAAATCGCGCAGGGAGAAGCTCCACCGCACAGCAAAGAGGGTCTTGGAGGCTATACTGGTGATGCATCCGAATATCTCGCATTGGAATGCCCTGGACCATGTGCAGGATGAACAGGTATATTACAGCCTGGCACTGGAGGAGCAGGCCCTGCAACGGGACAATCTCATGATTTGTCTCTGCAAGAAGCAGTGGTGTGCCAGGTTGTTGCTCTCCCAGGCCTTCAAAGCAAATAGAGCAAGCAGAAACCGAGCTGCTGCTGCTGATGCTGCTGCTGATGCTGCTGCCAATGTTGCCAATGCTGCCAATGCTGCTGCCAATGTGTCTTTGCAAGAAAACGAGGCAAGAAGCCATCTTCTGGTAAGTAGCTCCTATTATTTGTTTTGGCCATGGCTAACATCTAAGTATTGGAAACATTTCAAATGCTTTTAGGAGACTGAATCAGCAATTGTTGGAGACAGTGATATTGCCCAGCTTGCTCAAACTGCCGGTGTTGGTAATGCTGAGGATGATGACAACCTTAGTACTACTAGCAATATGTAATGGTGTGTGCGTTTGTGAGATCTTGTATATTTCATCCAAAATAAAATTACTTTGCTTTTGTACATTTGATGCTGCCTTGCTCTATTGGGATTTGAGATGATGGATTAGCTGCGATGCCACATTTAAAATCACATTTGATAGGTCACTTCAGCTTAAAAAGTTACTTGATTTGGTTACATCAGTCTGATACTGTGCATGATTAGAGCGTGTTTCTATATTTTTAGATCGAAACTTTGTATATTTAGGTCATCCCTTGAGAAAAAAGTGCTTTTGTTTCTCTTTTTTCTTCATTTTTCATCTATTTTCACTTTAATTCTATCAGCATAAGAGACATGTACTCTGTAGCAGCAAGAAGAAGAGGCAGCATTTACCGTCCATGGCTTTAAAGGTGGAGGCTAGGTTTCAATGCCATTGAAGAAGGAATACCATTTCAAATGTGCGCCGTGGGAAGCTTCATATCCCTGCCATAGTATCCAGGATGGAATCTTCATTTACACCCTTTCGAGACAACAAATTTATGGTATGTCCAATGCTTCTTGCCATATAAAAGCTAACAAATATCTTGTAGAAATGTAAAGGCGACTTTGCCAGGTCAATTTCGATGTCGCAAGTATGCCATTTGGTTAACCGTTTCCCTCCATCCTGCTGGTTCCATTTATCTGCTTTCTTGCTATCACTGTTCAAGTAGTAAGTCATCTTTTGCTGCATCATCAGGAAAAATCAGTCGTTACTCACCTGATAAGTTAACTAGTGCCAGCGTCGAGTGGGTCTGGCGGGTTTGGCTTGATAACTGAGCACATCTCTTGCATACTTTATGGATCCCCTTTTGCATCCAGTGAACAATGGCAGATGCTTCATAGTTGAATGATGCGGTCTATACATCTGATACTTCTGACGGCATAAGACGCATTAACATTCGTTCGATGTTTTCTTTTCAAGAATGTCTGCTCCCAATGAGTCGCTGCCTGGTGGTGTGCTGTACTTTCTATCTGTCTTGTGAAAGAGGTATTGTAGTCATCACGCCTTTGCTGGAACGCTTTACTAACTTGATTCAGTTCACATCTTTGCTGATAGGTACATGCACATCTTTGATATTATGCTGGCTTTTGTACAATTCGTTGCTCTACATGGAACACTGTTGATGGCTTCAACCTTTTCATTCTATGCTCTCTCTGGATCTCGCCTGGAAACATCACTTTTATATTGCCCTAAAAACTGATAATATTGGGAAACACGAAACAGTTCATACTGATCCAGGCTATTATTCTCAATTATCTTTGACTCTACTATAGCCTACAGCATGACCATTACCACTACAAGGCTTTACTATTGCACGTTTTTGGCACGTAGCCTTCGTTTACCCATTAAAATTAACCAATAATAAATGTATAAATATTTAAACCACAATTTCTGAGCCAATGAAAGCTGCCAATATTTAAACCACGAATTATGGGCCAATAAAAGCTACCAATATTTAAGCTGATTCAGACCTTCAATGATCCCATTTCAGCTCATCGATAGGTTCATGCGCGATCATGAATGTTCTCATTTGAGAACATGGATTTGCTCATTTAAGAACATCGATATTTTGATTTGAGAACATCGATGCGCTCATAAACAGCTACATTTGCTCTTATTTAAGAACATGGATGTGCTCATATGGGAACATCTCGGATGTTCTTATGAGAACATCGGCCGACTTATAATAGATCTTTAGGAACGCCGATGTTCCCATATGAGAGCATTTTCCACTTTTTGGGAACATCGATGCTCTCGAATGAGAACATAAAATAGATTCTTATATGAGCACCTCGATGTTCTCATGAGAACATCAGTTGGGCCGTAGTGTGGGGATCAGACGGCAAATCTTTCTACTGGACTGACAGGCCCACTGAGTTGATGCCTCATCAAACTGAGGCTCAAGTTCAGGGAGGTGGTGGTGGCGTTGTTTTCTGGGGCATGATAACAGCGGAGGGACCCAGCTATGGCTCCACCATTACCGAAGGAACTGTTAACTCAGAAGTTTATGCTGAAATTCTGGACTCATCTTTGCTAGACACTATCGAGTACTATGGGCTGGACAAGAAAACGTTTAGATTCCAGCAAGATAACGCAAGACCACATACTTCTGGTCCCATTAAAAAATAGTTCACGCATCACGGATTCTCTGTTCAAAATGTTCTTGATTGGCCTCCCCCCAAAGCCCTGACCTAAACCCCATTGAACATGTCAGGCATCAACTAAAACGTCGTTTGAACAAGTACCCTACTAGGGCCGCCAGCATTTCTGAGTTAGAAGACAGAATTGAACAGGAATGTTATAAATTCACAAAAGAAGACTGTCTTAAATACATAGGCAGCATGCCACGCCGAATCAAAGCGGTTATCAAGAGTAAAGGTGGTCCAACTAAATATTGAGCTTTTTTATGAACTTTAATAAATTCGACTTTTCACTTTTCATGTGGCTACCATTCTTTTTCTAATTACGTGAATAAAGTGCATAATATATCATCTGATAGCCAACTACTTAGGCTATTTATGAAACTAAGCAAACCCCAGTAGCTTTGATATTTGCAGAGAAAACTGACTATAAGTGCAATTTGGCAAAACACTGGAACGTTTTTTTCGCGCACTGTATATGTAGATTTTAAACAATCCATTATTAATAAAGAGGGAAAGAAATCGAATTTACTACTTAGATACTACGATTTTGCATATTCGCTTCGCAACAATCAAGCCCTCGTATAGATCAATACTATGAAAGGCAGGGCTGGATTATATGTGAATACAACACGTAGAAAGACATGGCTTACAGATTTACTGAGTTTATTAAAGATGAATGCATAGAATACCCCCAAAGAGTAGCACGCTTTATTATGTTGCCTTTGTTGCAGAAGCGGGCCCATACTGTTTAATTTTATTAATAGGATGCTATCTATTGCACGGCATGAGATAGTAAAACGATAACATACATGAAAAATTGTCTTTTAATACTATACGATACAATGTTTGCCATAATATTCATTAGATACTGTTTCTCAATCGCTTGATGACCGTGTGGAATATACAAAATAATCCAATCAGACTGTAGATAATAATCTTCATAAACTGCTACTGTAGTGGAATTAGGTTCTCGAAATTTTGTGGTACTATATTCGCTTTTACTATGCCATCGCGTTGTTGAACAGTTCGTAATATATGAATGTTATTTTGAATGTGTACTAGAGCTGATTCGTTTAAAAGTTACTGGCAGATAAATGTAAAATTATCAAAAAGTTTCCGCATAGAATGTTACAAAGTGTTTGTTATTTAATGGTGTTGTGAGTATAAGTAACAGATTTAGATAAATGTATATGTCTCAGCAGTATAAGTGAGAAAAAAAATAACCTGTATTATTTTTGATATTCATATTAACTATAAAAGTTACTAACAAAGTCTGTGTGCACCTGTGTCGTGTGTATAGGTATAGTTTTAGAGTAGACTTAAATAAATGTGTTAAGCACAAAGAATAAAAGGATTATTATTTGTAGCTTATAAAAAATGTTCGATATTATAAAAACAAGAAAAGACTTATTTGAATAAGATCAGACACAAAAACTAATGATTTATTGATGAAGACAAGAGTTATTCTATTTATACTAAGTTCTGAATGCCAAAGTAGCAATTTATCTTGTACAACGCTTATCACATCTGGTGAACCTCAGTATTTAGATAGCTGAGATGCACTTCACTTATCATAGCTTGTCCATGTTGTTGCACAACACAGACATATCTACCCATCAAGAATACCTTAATCTTTATAGACAGTTGTAGCCCTTCTGGCACAACAAAATGTATATAAAAGAATAGAATTGAGATATAAGATGATCTTTATTGTTTTGCAAACTAGGTTGATATTTATACTAAATTAAAAAAGTTACACACAAAGTCTGTGTGTACCTGACACCTGACAATGAAAAAAAAAGGGGGGGGGTGCTTGCTTCTTTTATACTGACGCCGAAAGCTCACGTCTGGGCCACACTTCTTTATATAAAGACGCTGATGGTCTCACGTCTGACATTTAACCAATAACATTGAGCCCTTTTATATGGTGAGAAAATTTTAATATTGTCAAATTGTGGTTTTCTTTAAATATATCACATTTTCATGGGTAAGAATGTAATGAATTGAAAAGTTTGAAATTGATTTGATCGACTTGACTATTTCCAATAACGGAAAATAATTTAGTTAAAATGTAATGGCAGAAGGTTCTTTAAATTATTCCGGTAATATAAGTATTGCTGGTTGCTGACTAGCAAATTCAGAGTGAATTATTTTGGAGTTGTACTGTATAAACGTGCATTCAATTGCTATCAAGGTAAGCTCTAGGCCATGGTATGGTATAACACCACGGAGGTTTCATATATTGGATACTGGAAAATATGAACACAAAAGCGCCATCGTAGTTAATCAGAGATTAAAGGCTCTTCTTCCCAGAACATAGCGTATCTGATCAAGTGATTTCTTGTTTGCTATTTGGCTATGGATTGCGTGATATGTTGTTTCAAGGCAACACTTGTTGGTATCATTGGCCTTGAGGGGGTTATACCGTGGTCAAACGAAGGTGAATGGCCATGACAATCAAGCATTTAATCCAACTTTTGTTAGCATTAATCTATATAAGGATTTTATCATAGGGAGGCGAAGGTGCAATACCAAAATACTATTCAAGCATCTAGCCCAATACTTGATAACAGCGATTTTAAAGGTGGTTTTACCGTAGCGAAGCCAAAATGTAAAGTTTTAGTGTTTAGATAGCATATTCGCTTTCTCATTTCCATTACCATTAGCAGGCTTACCGACAACATAATAACGCATCAAAATTTACATGAGTTAGTCTCACCGAAATTGTGGAATACATCCACTATGATCTGCATTCCGACAGTTCATCCAGTTACCAGATTTAGATATAAACTATATGTACACTGGAGTGGATGTATAGTACGATATCGATTTATACTATAAGAAGATATGGACTTCAGATACGCTAGTACTATAAGATTCATACTATATAAGATATAGGCTATAGATGGCACCACGGACATGGATGGCACTATAGACTTATACTTGTATTCCGACATTGACTACGGATGTTTACCATATCGGGATAGGCATCAAGATTAATGCAATATGAGCTTGTTGCTTCAGATGTGCACTTCATGATCCACACTATAAGGCACATGCTTATATCCGTGATACTAGCTACAGATACTTTATGTACTACAGACTTGTACTATATATGAGACATGCTATAGACATGCATACGATATGCTATAGACATGCCATATATCCAGATACATGCTAAAGATGTATGCTTAGCGATATACACTCAGATATGTACTATTAATATAGACTAAGAAGACTGTACCTATCGGATACATGCTACTAGATCGATATTAATTATCCTTATGGAAAGGATAGATCAGGATACTTCGGATGAGAGTCTAATTATTCATCCAGACAGAGCTAAATCATGATTAGCTTGCTGGAGTTGTCTTTTAGCATGATTAGACATTAGTTGATCTGAGTTGACTTATTTGTCAATCTAATTAATAGAACTTTTATCCATTGTTATAGTATATAAGAAGGATCATCTACCTGGCCAGTAGAGAGACTTCAGTTTACTTTACACCTGTCAGTTTGATAATAAAATATACCTTTATCAAGTTGACATTATTGTTTTTTTTATTCTTTTTTCCGTGAATTTTAGTCTATCAAGCCTCAAATTCCACACGGGCTTCCCCGGCCTAACATGCGTCTACTGACATCCTGCTCTGTGGTGAACCGATTGTGATGTGCTTCCTCTGTTTGCCCCTCCACTGCTACACTCTTTTACGCACGATGCGAGGGAATTCATGTTGTCTTTGATCTTTCTTATTAGCCATGTACCTCCCACCCACCACCCAGACAATTCAAATATTGCATAGCGTTCCTGAAATATTTGTCGCTCCCTCAATCTCAGAACCTCGGTTCTGACACTTCCTCACATTCGCCTCCCAAGTGCTAGCAATAATAATCAAAAGATCGAATGCATTTAGCCTTTACTTTATTAATTTCTTCTTGCTTTTAATAAACACATACATTTTCGCCTGAGCTACATCCCTGAAGCACAAGAAAATGGAACCAAAAATTACACCATATAGCAAAGCCTACATAATTGCCCCTAGGCGCACTCTTTTGCCTTATTTAGAAATCCACCTCTTGTATTTTGGTGACAATTACATATAATATATTGAGTATGAGCTACCTTGAGCGATTGTACTATGAGCAGTGCACTAAATCGGAAGTATTAAAATCGAACATGTAAATTGGATGTAATGCAACGTATCAGTTTCTGTAATATTATTCATATAACACCCTCCAAGTTGCCAGATACTACTTATCTTTAAGTCAGGGTCTTTCCAATTATTAGTAGTGTAATTTCAAACCATTTAACCATGAGCGTGTCAATTACACTATGCCATTGCGTAAATCAATACCGTTAAATGCAAGGTACCTCAAACTTTATCGCAGTTTATATCACTCATTTTGAACGTCCCCAATGATTCAAGCTTGCACTAGCTAAAATACAGTTTTACAACAATGGTGAATTTAGCATATTTGACGTATATATCTTTGATCTATTAAAACAGCAAGGCTGCAATCCTCAAGAAATGATGCACACCCAAGATAGAAAAAGAATATCAAGCTATTAAATGTACATTGAAGTATAAAGCCGAATTGCCTATGTATTTTTCACAAAGGGAAACAAATTCAGAATAAAAGAAGCAAAAGCTTTTTTGGTGTCCGTACTATATTAAGTTCATTAGAGTAGCACAAAGTGGTAAGTTACAAGACTTGACTTTCGGCATATAAGCAAGAAGGTGCTCAAGCAGAGATGAATCGATAGCATATTTCAATGATGCAATTGCAATTGCAAACTGGGTTCGTCACAGCGTGTCCTGATTACAATATCCGTTTGCAGCAGAAATACAATTGCTTTGCAATGTGTATCTACTGATCAAATATAATTTCATTGAATTCAACAGGTTAGTTGCTGACTATTATACATGGTGTTTGGGAAGATTGCAAATGCATTAAATGGTATATAATTATGAAAAGCTCAAAAGAAGGAGTTTCAATGAACAGAATCGCACCAAACATTCACACAGTACAAAAGGCCTATATGAAATAATCAGAAAAAGCTATTTTTTGATTTTTTTTTTTTAGGTAAACTTTACTTGCTACTGGGTGGTGCTGTAGCTGCTTTGCTGCTCTACAAATAGAAGGTAACAAACTATAATTATTTTTCTCTTATTTCTTTCTTCTTTTAAACATCAAATGTTCCCATTAGAACACCCTTCACAAGCGATGAACGACACGGATGGTCAGAGATACTATAGGTAACCCGTTTTCTTTTTCAAAAACATATTGCTGGTGCATTGATTAAACCCTCCAAACATAAAAGCGACATGTACGGCCAATTAATGCAACAACAGCAACAACAGCAGCAATCGCTACATCCACAATCACATTACCACCACCACAATCACCCACATCATCGCCCACATCATCATCCCAATGCAACAGAGATTCGTACCATTTATCTGGGAAATACACCAAGTGATGTGTCTGTATCTGATATCATCGATCACGTAAAAACAGGACCCATTCAAGCAATTAGGCCTTTACCCGAGAAAAATGGAATTTTTATCACTTTTATCGACTCGTATGCTGCTAGTCAATTTTATCATGAAGCTCAAAGAAATCGACTAACTATACACGGACATGAATTGAAGATCGGTTGGGGCAAACCAAGTATACTGAATCCACATATGCAATTAGCACTACAGAATGGAGCTTCTCGCAATGTATATCTAGGTCTCTTGGACGAATCAGCAGCAGAACAAGATTTACGAGATGATTTATCAAGATTTGGTCACATTGAGCATATCAAGATTATTGCCGAAAGACGCATTGCCTTCGTTCATTATCTATGTATATCAAATGCTGTCAAGTGTGTTAATACGTTACCTACTGAATCAAAATGGCAATCCAAACGTGTCAATTTTGGCAAAGATAGATGCGCTGCTCGTGCTCCTCACCCAGCAATATACCAACATCCTTTACCACAACCTCTCTTCCATGCAGCACAGCCTCATCCATCGCCACCATTGTCTTCCTCTTCTGTACCTGCACCACCACCGGCAGCAGCAACATTATTGTCATCTCAATTCGATCTAATGACCGGCTTACCTGTTATTTACAACCACCCTATGAACCACAATATCGGCGGCGTAGCCAACAGAACGATTTATCTGGGCAATATTCATCCTGATACAACAGCTGAAGATATTTGCAATGTGATTCGAGGTGGTATTCTATCACAAATTCGATTCATGCCTGATAAACATATCGCATTCGTCACCTTTGTAGATCCTCACGTAGCATCTATCTTCTTGAATCAAGCCTTACATCATTGCATTGTCATCAAAAATAGACGCCTCAAAGTGGGATGGGGTAAACCAGCGGCCCTGCCTATCAATGTGATTCATGCAGTTCAGAGTGGTGGGTCTCGAAATGTGTACGTGGGCAACATTGACGACACAGTTACTGAAGAAAAACTAAAGCACGACTTTTCTGAATATGAGGACATTGAACTGGTCAACACATTGAAGGAAAAGAATTGTGCATTTGTCAATTTCACAAGCATTGCTGGAGCCGTTCGCGCGATTGAAGGAATCAGATCGAAAGAAGAGTACAAAAAGTTTCGCATCAATTACGGTAAAGATCGCTGTGGAAAAGCGCCTAGATTGCAGCATGCCTATAGCAACAAATACAATTCAAATGCAACTGAACAAGATGAAAACCAAGTCGAAGTTAAGCATGAAAATACCAGTATGTCCGATATTACAGAGTCCAATTTGACGCTATAACGGAGACCTTTATTATACATTTAAAAAGTAAAAATACACTAATAACTATAATCAGCTCGAAAAATACGCAATATGCCTCTCAATATCTTCTAGTTAACTTGATTTTCAAAGATTCAGGACCCAATAAACCAATACCTCCTCCATTAGCATTTTTTAATCCGTGAGCATGCTCGCTATTGGGCGCTAATGTCCATGTATATCGTTTCAACATCATGGCTAGAACTATTCTCTGTTCTGATAAGCTAAAGTTTTGGCCTATGCAAGTGCGCGGGCCATAGCCAAATGGCATCCAAATAGCATCTTTGCGGAAACTTGTGCTCTTTTTGTTGAATCGATCTGGGTTGAATACTTCAGGTTGATCCCAATACTTTGCAATGTGATGTACACCGTACAATTCCTACTCCGTTCATTAGAGCCATGGTCATGCCATACACATAATCAACAAGAGAGCTTACAATGGAGATGCGAGTTTCTTTAGGCACAAAAAAGCCTCCTAGATTTGTATCTTTGGTAACAATTCGAGGCAGATTGCCAGATGTTGGAGGGTTGATTCTCATTGTTTCATGAATACAGTTGTCGAGGTATACCATTTGCTTCAATTCTTCTCTTGTGGGGATCACGTCCTCAGGAGAATCGCCCATGACACTCAGCACTTCTTGTCTAGCCCTTTGTTGAATCTCGGGATTAGCAGCGAGATAATACATGAATGAAGCAGTTGCACTTGCAGTGGTTTCATGACCTATACAAAGAAGGCTTGAGTATGAGCGTTTGGTGCTATTCATGTGATAACTTACCAGCAACAAAGAACACTGCAAGATTAGACACCAGTTCCCCATCAGTTAAGTACGAGGCATTGGGTACATGGCCACCTTCTGCAGCCATAATCATTAATGTGAGCAAGTCAAGCCCTTGAGCGTTGCTGGAATCCATGTCATCAGATAAAACCAAGCTGTTTTCGCGGATCGTTCGTTTACGGTCAACGATGATGTCTGACAAGATCTTGCGAAGATTTTCATTTGCTTTGCGAGCTCTGTTGCGATAGGGTATATACTTGGATGGGATACGTGTATATGCAGGGAACAGATAAACAAATGGATCCCTGACAATACCTATACACAATCAACATCAGTGGAGAACAAATGGCAATTTTGAGCCTAAAACTTACTGAACGCTTCCTTGTATAAAGTGGCATAAGGTGAGGTTGAATCAGTGACAGCCTCCATGTCGAAATTCTATGCATACAATCAATATAAGCACATTACTGCTATCAAAAAGGTTATACTCACAAAGATACCGAGCCCAAGACAATCGAGAGCATATCTAAATACAACCAACGCTCAATACCACAAAAAAGCCCCTACAAAAACCAATATACATGCCTTCTCATATAATCAGCCATATCGACAATATCGTCGTTATTCTGTTTATCCATGGAGTCAAACATACGCTTTGTAATTTGGCCAAAGACTTCAATGGGCATGGCTCTATGGAAAACAGGATTCGCTACACTGCGTTGCCTTTTCCAATCTTGACCGTTCGCATTTCCCATGTTTGGCTCTTCGTTTGTCAAGATGAGATCCTACTTTTTGATGAGAGTCTGACTACAGGAAATTATCCGCGTGTACTTACAGGATCCATAGAAACTTGCTCCTTGGGAAATGTATACACGTCTTTCAGCAAGACTTGCAATAAAATGGGATCACCCACAGTTACTGTCCATCTTCCAAGAATATACTTTAAGCAGAGACCATGTTCATTGATGGTAGGCAGCATCAGTTTCTTCATGCGGACATCATGGCTTTCACCCTTGAGAATACTCCAAAACCAAGGCAATGAATTGACTTTTGGAATATGAGCCAAGTGTTTGGGAGCCACCATCATGCGCCAGAATGACTTGACCATGTAGCAAGTACCCAGCAGCGACAAAGTGGCACTCCAGAAGAGCTTACTGTTCTTATCATTGACCATAGGCAGCAGCTTAACGAGGTTGATGGCATCATTGATGGAGCTAAAAGAAACAAGTGAAGAGGAAGCAGAAGAAAGCATGTTTGTTTATGTCTGTATTACATCAATAAGCGCACTTTCTCTTTTATACATGGTGGATATTTTTTATTGTTCTCCAAATATGGTCAAACACCGAGTTTTCATCTGGGAATATCTAGATATTTGTTTGAAATAAATTTATTTATACAGTGCTGTCCGTATTCATCACTCTTGGCTCGAGCTCTAGACTTCTTTCATACAGGAAATCAACATCTCTACTTGTTTCTAGCTGGAAGTTGATGTAATCTTGGATTTCAGGTACGATCTGGAATATGTAAGGCGGTGACTGAAATTGCTTGATCTCGCGAATGACCTCTGCAGCTTTCTGTTGCTTTGCAAAATTGATGAGGTTGCTTGATTTCTTTAGCAAATCAGGATTGCCATCTTCAATAAAAGTGAGATCTTGTAGATAGATGCCCAAAAACGGGATACAGGGAGGATTGACCGAGTGGATCATTTCACGATATTCTGTAAAGTTGCGGTTGGACCCCATCAGTTTCCGAATATGAGCCAATGATTGACTTGTGCGACTACTGACAAGTTCCCATGTCTTTTTCAGTCTACCGATAGCACTGTTGTCGAAAGCAGAAAGAATTGCCATACAGGTATTATAGTTATTCATTTCCAAGCATCGCTGCGAAAAGAAATAAGGGGTTAGTGACCAGTGATCTGCCATGTACATATGCTACTGCTTCTTACATTAGCAACTTGTGACCAATGCTTGATTACGACAACTCGCTTCTTGGCTTCTTTGTTGTTCAATATGCTGCCAGTGACCCAGGATGTAAGACGGTTACAGTAGTCAATGGATTGTTTCACATTTACAGCATTATCAGCGCCATCTCTTGACCACGCCTTGCCCAGACATTCAATAGGTCGAATGCTGCTATACAATTTGAAATCCATGATGGTCAATTGCCGAGCCAACTCCAGTGGGTCCGTGTCGAGCAAGCGAATGTGTTGCATGTTCTTTGGCACAATAGGCATAGGCCCATACATGGCATTGGGAATCAACTTCTTTAGACCACCGCCATTTGCATCTAGCTCTCGTCTCTTTCTGATGAGTCGGTTCAATTGTTCAGCCGAGAAGGACGAGGAATCGCAAATAACAGTGTTTGCAAAGAACTGCAGCTTGTTCAAGATAAACTCGTCTTCATCGTTGTAATAGTTTTCCAGCCAGTTTTTCATGACATTGAAGACGCTATGTACGCTTGGTTAAATACTGCTTTTGTACGTGCAGTGACATTTACTTACCGAAGACGAACGAGCTTTTGCTTTTTGTCTGTCCAAATCTCCAGTTCATCAGGCGTCAATTCCTCTGGTGGCGCTAAATTGTAACGTTCTTGCAACAATTCAACAAACTCCTCGGTTGTGCAGAAAGATCGGTAAGTCAGCAGGAAGTTGGCAATAAAACTCATGTCTATGTGTGTGCTGCTGGTTATTATCTCGTACAAGTGCTTGATCTATCTGCAACTTACCGATAAAGTCATGCAATGTCAAACGCTCAACCAATGCTCGCAGTGTACCACCCTTGACACTTTTATCCTGTGTAAATTCAATGTCACCTTCAGCGTAATCATAGCCCAGGTACCAAAATTGCGATTTATCCTCTTGCGAGTTGGTGCCATGACCAAAACTGAATTGCCGCTTCAGGGCCTTGTTGTCTGTGGGCCGCGTTAATGTGGATGCGGGTACATTGGATGTGCTGATGGGAGGTCGATGCAACGCTGATGCTGCTTGTAGTTGTGGTGTTTGTGGTGGCTGCTGTTGAAGATCCAAGGGTTGCGTGCCTGATTGACTGTTCTGTCTGTTATACATGCGAGATAGGAGCGGTGTGCTTGAAGCATCGACTGCAGTGTTGCTGTCAGCAGATGTGGTTTCATTGTTGGTGATACTTCCGCGATGTTGTAGGCTGTTGTTCTTTTTGTTCTCACTCTCAAAGTAGGAATGCACGGGTGATCGCGGTCCTTGTTGGTCGCTGGTGTTGTTGCTCACATCCCCGTTTCTCATCAGCCAAATCTTTCTTTCGCCCACCATCTGCACAATGTTTGAAAAGATGCCTTCAATAGCGTCTTCCACTGCAGCTACACTATCCTCTATCGCTGCAATAGACGCTGCCAGATCGTTGTGTGTGTCTGTCAAGGTCTGCACTGCACTAAACAGCAAACCTACAGAGTTGTATAACTTTTGCTTGTTGCTGCGGAACTCAGGCAGAGATTGAATTTGTGCAGCCTCTACTTGGCTGATATCAATGTCGTTCAAGATGGCAAGGTAATTTCCAATCTGTGACGATAGGTTTTGGAACAGGAGAATGACATTGGATCGTGCTCTTTGGTCCAGGATATAGTATTGTTCTTCGTTTGTTGGTAAATCGTCCTTTTCAGCTGTGTTTCCTTGCTGCTGTTCTAACGTGTGTATATACGCAGATGCCTTGCACAGTGCATCAGTGGAACCAACGATCTGCTTGGCATGTGTCTGGAGACTGACAATCAAATCTTGATTCAGGGGATATTTGGCTTTGGATTGTTGCGGCCCATTGGTACTTGTGGTGCTGCTCTTTCTTCTGCTTGCTACCGTGTTGCCTTCGTCATCGGTACCTGAGGGACTGTCCAGCACTACAAATTTGGGGTTGATGGGTTCGAGTTGAATGCTCTTGTTCTGGCACACGAGCACAAATCGACGCACTGCATTGAGCACATCAGCTGCATCGCGTTGTACCTTGCTGTTGATGTCTACATTTGAGTCGTTGACCACTTTGGCAGATAAGATCAGTTTGGCTAATGACGACAGCACGATACGCAGGGGCTCTTTTACTTCCATGTCTTGCAAATGAGCAGCCTCCTTGTCCATGGAGCGAGATGAATACAGCATGAGCCGCACTGCGTCTACCACAACCACAATCTTTTGTCTGAAAATGCTGGAATCTTGACCTTGCACTACTGAATTGTTGAGGTCTTGCACTGATTGAGCGATTTCAATAGCAATGCTCTTCCATGTCATTGGCGTATCGTCCTCGCTGTTGTTCACGAGGACCGAGTTCTCTTTTGGCGCCTTGTTTTCACCTATGCTCTCCTCCTGCTTTTCAGTGCTGCTCTGATCTGAACTGCTGCGCTTCTATAGCTGTTGGTTAGGCCCAATGTGTTCCCTATCCTGACCATGCAATTCTATGCTTCTTACCAGTCGACCCGTTGCTGGATTGATATCATCGAAATCCCAAGTGGTTTCATGTGTGATGGAGTTGCCGTAATACACCTTTCCTTGAGGAGTAGTGCGCTTTGTCCAAAATTGCATCAACTAGGCATGTTTTATTAGATGAGGTACACACACACACACACACACACACGCAATCAAACACACGCTGCCTTACATTGACATGCTGCTGCTGCTCTGCAGAAGAGATGGGTGATTCAGGTAGATGACTTGCTGGGATGATCCTTTTCGTCCTTTGCTTTCCAAAATCACTGTAATCGTCGAAATTTTCTAATTGAGTAGCTGAATTCTCTGTGGAATATCGATTGGTATTGTGATGAGCAAACGAAGAAGAAGAAGAAGAAGGAGGTGGAGGAGGAAACGAGGAAGAAGAGTATTCATCATTACTGCTATTCTCGTCATCGGAATCCAAAATACTGGGATGATTCCATCGTAAACCACCTGTATGTTGATTGAAATAAAATTTGGTGAAGCCATCATCGGCTATTTGAAGAGTCCATCCCTCGGGTAAATTTGACTCTTGCTCTTCCTCTTGCTGCTGCTGCTGCTGCTGTTGTTGGATCATCTTGTGTAAGTAGGGTGCTTGGGATGTGTTGTTAGTGTTGTGTAGTATGTAAGAGTCCTTTTTACGCTGCTGTGGTTGTGGAGATGAACGGGATGATGAATGTGGGGTAGTAGGCAGATTGCTGGTTGGATGTTGACCCATATTGATATTTCGAATGAGGTTGATTGTCCGTGCTTCTTCCTCGCTGTCATCCTCGCTGTCATCTTCGTCTTCATTATCAGCATAGACATCGGTATCCACATCACTGACATCAGCATGTCGATTTGAATATGATTTACTGACTTTGCGCTGATCGTGGTGCATGTCTTGCACCAGATTGGGGTTCACCTGCACTACTTGGACATAGTTGCTGGGAAACCAACCTCGGTTACCTCTGCACCAACCATCCCACCAGCCAGAATCCAGCTGTGAAAGCACTTCAATGTATTCACCTTTTTCAAAAGATAACGATGACTTTTCTGTGGATGAAAAAGCGTACAATGCCTTGACTCTACATATGATCTTTGGAAATTTGGCTGTGGTAGCCATATTTTGGTGCAATGTGCGTAGTGGTAAATTGGTAAGAAAAAAAAAAGGGTGAATAAACAAAAAAGAATCTTGTTTTGTAATCTATTTAGTAGTTAAAGGAACACAAGAAAAAAATTACAATAATCGCTTCTTGGATTTTTTTTAAGTTCATGGCCTCATGCCATTTGATTTGCTCATGGGCAACCCAATCAAACACTCTTTTCTGCCATGACAAAACGTCAATTGAATGCTGGCAGACGCTGCAGATGACATGTCATAGAGATGCAAGGCAAGTGGAACTCAGTAGAGCGAAAACAATGTAGAAGTGTTGTATAGAAGCATTTGGTGGAACATGTAGACAAAAAGAACGTGGCAAATAATGCTTGAAAGTCCGAGCACTGCAACCCTATCATTCCAACTGTCATTTTCGTGTGGATACGCTGAGATGTGTAGATGTGGAGCTCCTGATGCAAGGGGTAGGTAAATGTAAAATTCAACACTAGCAAGTAGCCCATCTCCGATTTCTTATCATATTTTATTATATCAACAAACTCGGTAAGCATTTCGACGGTATGACAAGGTCAAATTTACCTAAACAAATGTATTTAGCGTCTTGAATCATGACACACAAAGCACACACACTTGCCTGGCACTGCGACAAAATAGTCGCATACCTCTCTACAGAATCGATGCTTGTACTGATCTGGAGGAACGACGGTAACTTCTTTCCTCGGTTGCAACGTTGATTTGCTTTTAGACTCCAACTTCTTATACCAGGTGTACGCACCAATGAAATCTGTAAATATATCATGTCAATTACTATAGATGCAAATAAAATCATGCCATTTCTGCATGTCTTTACCAACAATGCCAACTGTCATTTCCGAGTTGCTTTGGTCAATACCAACCAGCAATGAGTAATCCATAATGTTGCATCTCGACAAGAAATCCGTGTCGCTGATGATGGCTAGCTCCATGGTCGATTTTGATTGCTCATGGACTGGCAATCTTGTCCTGTATTCTGCATGCAATCGATGAGTACTTCTCATCTTACGCCCTGTTCAGTGTTACCATTTAACCAATCTCCGTCCCACAATGTAGTATCATTTTGCTGTTTGCGGAACTCTTCCACATGTCGATCTTGTATCCCCTTGAAGTCAAATCTCTGGCAAAATATAGAGAGAAACGATGAGCAAGTCGAGTTGGACAAGAAAAGACGCCGAGACCTACCCTGATAATGTTCTGATGAAAGAACAAATGCTCCATGACGAGAAGGTCGAGGTTGAGTATGGATTTCTTGTCAGCTGCATTTTTCATTCTGATAGTAAAGAACCCAAATATCTTTGCCAGCACAGATGGTTCCTGAAAAAAAAAAAAAAGGACCATGTCGTGAGATTTTGTATATACAGTGCTGTTGTGTCATGCTTACGTTAGCAGACTTGTTGACATGGTCAAAGTATTTGGGCGCAAATTTGAGAAAGGCGTCCTTTTCAGCCACGTTCCATGCATTCATCATTTCCTTGATGACAAATCGATCGTCTATGAATGATCTGTTTAGTCAGAGAGCCGCTCTGACTAGCAACATTTCACATTACCTTGCGTCTTGTAGAAATGGCTTTTGCTCTTGCCTCCGCTGGCTGTCCAGGTTTGACATCGACACAGTGATTCTATCATTAATTGATTAATGTTGCACTGCCTACGAAGCATTTCGAACTCCTTGGCATAATAGATGATGCATGTAAACTCGATTCCTTCATGAACGAATTCTACAAAACAAACACAGGTTTAGTATATGTATACAGACCTCATCAAGACTTACTGTGCTTGATGTGCGGGCTAATCATCTTTTTGCCATTGACAGGCTGTTGATCCGCATTCTCATAAAAGTAGGATGCCACCTTGACTTCTCTTGTCTCCTCCTGTTGTTGAACAGCAGCCAGCGGCTTCAATGTACGCTCCGTCAGGTCTCGCTTCAGATCAGCACCCTCGTAAGCATTCTCCAGCTTGGTCTCCTCTTGCTTCTTTGTCCATGGGGATAATCTTGCTTTCAAATCCTCCAAACGCTTTGAGTTATTAATGCTGACCTCAACAACACTTGACTTTACTACTTCTGTGATCATCGTGCGAAAGGAGGCTGTTTCTGACGTCGCTCCAGTAGATGGTGATATGTATTTGCGTTCAATGGACGAATAATAGCCGTCAATGATGTTTGGTAGCTGTGGCAGCTTTTTCTTTGCAGAGTTGGGCATAGGTGGAGGCGGTTCTGCTGTCGTCCTACTGGATTCTGTTGTATTGGTGGATGACAAACTGGGTATAGAAGGGTTCTTGCTACTGCTATTGGTAGTAGCAGTCGTGCTGTCGTGGTTGGCTGTATCTTCATCGTGCAAGATTTCTTGTATGTAGTCATTTGAGCTTAGACTGTAGGCGATAATAGATGTGGGTTCGTCTTCTCTTACAAGGACTGAAGAGCCAGGAAAGCAGTGCACCGTTTTTTGTGAGATATAATCAGGACTGTCCCAGCCACAAGCATCCGTCACTTCATCGCACTTGAGCTGCTGCCAGTCTGTCAGGTACCGAATGATGGATTCAGACTGTATCGCAAAGTATCTCCTGAAATCGTTCAATTCATTGAGGCTGGTATCTGACAAAGCGTAGAGCATGGCTTGATGATCTGCATCCAATCGCTTGCTCAAACCTTTGATTTCCAAATCGAGTGCTCTTGACTCTGACTGCAGCTGCTGCTTTGCGCTAGTTGTCTCATTGCCAAGGATGCGTGCCTTTCGTTTGCTCTCTGCAATAGTGTAATGGTTCAATAGATCCAAATGCGCACGAATTGATTGAAAGAACAGATCCACGTCTCGCTCGGCACTTTTGTGTTTCCATTCCATTAATGTCGACACGCCTACCCTGGGCGCAACAAAGGTGAGTTTGTCGCCGACGAGTGTTTCAGGGGCAATTTGTATACGAGGCGCCCGAAGCTCATAGTATTTGGCATCTTCGTAGGTGAATTTGAATGCAATGCCATTGTACAGAAAGCAGCGACTGATAATTGATTTAGTGTTTGTGGCATGCGTGCTTGTCGTATGAGCACAAAACGATTCAGGTGATGCTAGTTTTGTGCTGTAAAACAAAAGTTCCAGGTATTTTGCAAATGAAAAGGAAGCAGCTTCATTGCTCAACAGAAGCGGCCTAGTGCTGGCATCGCACACACTGCACACAAGCCAAGTGACAATCCTGTCTTTTTCGCGCATGACACAGGTAGACTCGGTGCTTGCGTAGACATTGATTCTGCCAATGCCATGTGTGAAGCTAAAGATATGGTCGATCAACGGCTGCTGACATCCATGGAACTTGCTGCACTGTCGATTATTCAGCATAGTAGATGACCTAGAGGACGAGAGAAGAGGGGTTGCTAGTGTATATATGGAAGATTCTGATGGCTTTTCGTGGTGGAGGGTATCTGGTCTCTGCGTCGAGTTGTTTAGAGGATTGGGTGTGTTGTTTAATAGGTTGGGTATAAACTGTGCCTGCTCGTCAATGTGAAGTTGACAAGAAGATTGACTCTGGTTACACCAATGACGGATGGTGTGGCCTAATGACTGATCAATACTAGGAAATAGGGTGGTTGTACTATCTACTGGTGATTCGTAACGAAAATAGTCAATTTTGCTCATGAGAGGCCCCAAACAAGGACGGTCAGGACATCCGATCGGATAACAGGTGAATCCAATGGTGATACTTTGATGCTGTTTGAAGCTATTCAATGATGTCGTATCCAGCAGCAAATGCTCTAATCCATGTCGACTGTCTGCTAGCAATGTGGGAATTCGTATAGAGACGTAGGCAGTGATCGACTGAGGCAGCTGAGCTTCAGGTACAATGGTGGATCTCTTCACGGATTGTGAAAATGAAGATACCAGCGACGATCGTCGTCTTTGTTGTTGTTTAGACAAAGGTCGTGCAATGTCTGCTACTGGTGCCATTGATTCCTCTTGTAGCATCAGCAATCTCTTTTGTTCAATCATCATATTTTCCTCTGTTTCGAGTCGATTGAGCAAGTTCGGGTAAGGAAAGTGACATTCAGGGGAAGATGAGATCAATGCAAATTCAATTCTCTTTTTTAGTTTGCAAAATCGATGAGGATCCCCTTCTGTAATCGTATCAAAATCAAACGGCAATGCATTCACTGTTGTTGCATCTGTTGTTGTAGCGGCTGCTTGTTGCAACTTTTTGCTCAAATTGTTCAATGATAGGCCTCGTCTTACAGTGGCGAGTGGGTTACTTTTTCTTCGTACTGTCTTTTCGCTGTCTATGGATGGTGGTGGAGTCGTCGGTAAGTCTCTGCTCGTCGCTAGTTTTTTTAGCCAGCCAAATAGACCGCTCGAATCAGTCGTCTTTTTAATGTGATGTGAGCTCAATTTTGTAGTCATGTCAGCGTGGCTGGATTCAGTTGCTGTTTGCATTGTTGTGGCTGTATTAGGAGTGTTAGGAGCTGCTGTTGATATGGCCAATTTCACATGACTATCTCGCATCACATAAGCTTCCAAATAGAGACTGTAGGTCAAGTAAACGAGACTCTGTACCAGTTCAATTAAGGTTTTTGTGAAAGTTTCATCATTTGCATTTAACCCGTAAATGCGAATAGTTCCGCCAATTGGAAAGTGCATTGTATGCTCGCCTACATTGTTTATCAAGTGTTATTACTCCATTTTGCATTATGAAAGTGTGCCATTACCATCGTGGATGGGTGGTCCATGCATTACATTGGCGAGGAATTTGGAATCCTTGGGCGCATTTACATACAGCATCTCTATGCAAATGTGCTTGTTGGTCTCTCTGCTGCTATTGTCGCTGTCGAACAATTTCTGGAGTATCTCGATGGAGATCTTGTTTAATACCTCGGCCCAGGGCTTTATAGGGATGCTTAGATTGTTGAGCCAAGTGAGAATTAGCTTTGTAATGTGGTTTCGTGAAGTGTCGTCAATGATCAACGCGGAAGGCGGTGTTGGCAGTGGTTTGATAGGCAAAGGCTTTGATAATCGTTTTTCTGCCGCGGCGTTGCTCTCTTCTTTCGGAGCCGACAAACCTGCTTTGATGCTCTTCATGTTGCGTACAAGCTGGAGATAAAGAAGAAGAAGAAAGAGAGGGAAAATGTATTAAAAAAAAGAGAAAAGTTTTAACTTTATTTCCTTCTAGGTACTACAAATATCAAGTATCTCGTCACCAGGTGATACGTGCATTTTTAAACAAATACATCTCACTGATTGTACATTGCGGATTTAAAGTACTGGAAAGCGTTTATTGCTAATCTCAGTTGTCAAATGCTGGTGCAACTGATGTTTGTATATATCAATTGAGTGCTGAATTATAGCAAATGTCAATACTTAAAAGACTTTCATCTAAATGTGACACAAGAAGGGTAGGACACAAAAGAGTATGCCTCTGAAGTCGAGGATGCCGCTTTCCGGATCAAAGTTCATTGAATCCGCCCATCCATTAAGTTCTTGTGGCAGGGCTTGAGACGTTTCAAAGCAAATCAACGTGATCTGGCAATGATTGTTTACCACATCTTTCATAGGTGCATATATAAAACTATTTTTTACACTCTGTGCCTTTTAGAATAATAAAGAGTATATCTCGATTACCACTACCATATTACAACTTTTTCTATTACGAATCATTTTTACTACCATAATACCCTTCATACCAGCCTCTTTGCCTTGACGTATTTTTTTAAAAAGGGGTGAAATCCTTGCTGGTAATTTCTTTTCTAACACTACTCCTTTACTAGCATCTCAGAACGATCACTTCGCGGCTCCACGTCTAACTTTTCCTGCTCCAACAGTACCTGAATTCAACAATCAGCCTCCCCTGCGTGTTGCCCATTATCGTAGCTCCTCTGGTTGCCAGTATTCAATGTTTATTCGGAAACGCCATTAAATGTCCTCGCACAGAGAACTAACTACAGCTTTTTTTTTTATCCAGAACCAGCAAGAGGCCCATCAGCATTTCAGAAGAGCTACAGCAGATAGATTGATAACATCATACCTCCACCAACCAGCAGCATCAAAGATACTAATAAGTTGGGCAGATATCGTCGCATCGGGTCCCATAGCACATTAATCATACCAGCTCAAGAAACCAAACTGCATCAATAGCATCACGTTGAAAACTGCCTTTCAGCAACGAGCACTGAAGCCATTTCAAAGCAGATGTGGACTATGATATGAGAACATACAGTGGGTGCGAAAGAAAAGTTGATGCGACTCTCAATGCCAACACAGCAAATATCACTTGTGCGTTTAACACATTGAAAATTTATCAACAAAAAGTCGCAATTACATCATTGAGTGTATCTAAAAGCAGGAGTTAACATTACCAATGATGACAGGGACAAAGAGAAGGATACAAAAATGAAGAAAACATCCCTAGTTGTGTGCTATTATTTTATTGTATTATGGATTTTGGGCATTGTTTGAAAGTTTCAAGGACTTGATTTTTGATGGTTCAAACATCAAAACTGGTAATACTTTGGTATATCCACAAATTATGATACGAGTTAAAAGATAGCAACCCATGAAATGAAAGTATGTTGGAAATTTATACTAAAAGACGCATGTTTATTAAGGCATTTGTGGCCTATTATATAACTTTCCCCACATAATAGTAAATTTAAAAGGCAATTTTCATATCAAACTGTTTACAGCATGTTAGACCAAACGATTGCACCTTATTTTACTTTTGAATAAAGAAGAACTTAAATTGCATCTATTTGGATACCCTTTTATTACAAACACGAAATCATGATATTAATTGACAGATCAATAGGAAATCAACTAGTTGTAACCCTTCGCTACTTCAACCTCTGAGCCAATCAGATTGCTTGAAAACTCCGCTGACCTAAAAAAAATTTGCGAGGGTTTCCCCCTGTTCTGATGTGAGGCAAAATTTTAAGCTCCGCTATATAGCAATATAGCTGTTACTATCATCAAACTTCCCCCAGATGCTAGAGCATGTCTTACTTACACCACCTAGCTTTAGATTCTGGCGTTGAGACTCCCAATCATCACTAAAGTAAGTAGCGATAACCAAGTGGAGGCGGCCTATCTACCTCCTAGCCTCGGATAAAGTCTTGTTGAGCTTCAGGGATAGGCACATCCACACAACGTAAAAAAGGTATGCTTCAAAGAAACATAATAATAATAAAAGAAAAAAGAAAAGAATATAAAACTATACGAGTATAGTAGTATATGTAGGCAAAAAAAAAGAATGCTCACACGAAGCGAGTCAAAGAAAAGCATAACAAACACAACATCAAAGATGTTCAGAACAGATCGTTGTTGTTGCAATAAAATTGCATACATGAGCAACGTGCAAGGTAGTAATAGTCGGATGTAAAGAAACATGGCACAAACACGCACAACTGCAAAAGCAACAGTGGTATTATAAGTTTGCAATACAACGTAATGACTAATATCGTTTCATGTGAAGCCACAGAGGAAACACCACCAACAAAAGAAAACGAAGGAGAAGAAAGCGCAACGAGGCAAACATCATGGATGCATTATTACGAGAAAGGAAGCAATAATAATAAAAACGTCCAGAGACGTTTTATATTATTGAGACCAGAAGAAAAAAGTTACTTACCACTTACCACAGCCACAAATAGACCTCCAGAAAATGCGCAATAACCAGAGACAGACCAGAGAACAAGCATACATCAAAAACAGTAGACCATCAAGGACCAGATTACCAGCAGCAACATCAGCCGCACCAGCGCCACTAAAATAGAGAAACGAACAAACAGCATTAGAGAAGGCTATACACAGAACATACACAGACCAGATACAGACCAAATACAGACCAGATACAGACCAAATACAGATAAGGTACAGACCAAATAGAGACAAGGTACAGACCAAATAAGCAGCTGCAACAGCACTACTGTAATAGAGAGACCAAAGAACAAACAACATTAGAGAAGATCATACATTGACCGTGCAGAGACCAGATAATGACCAGACATATACCAAATAAGCATCCACCAAAAATGGTAGACTAGAGGAGATGCCAGAGATAACATAAAAGTAAAAGTAGCAAGGTTCATGTCAAACAGGCAAAAAAATTATCAAATCCCAACAAATAAATACTTTTAGTGTTAATTCCACGCCTTCGTGTGCGAATTATTAAATCATACCTGCTGCATTCCACTTGAAAGAAGTAGTATCCAGTCTTTTTGACAGTACAAGACAGTGTTATCAGAAGCTAGAGTGTTATTGTCAATCAAACGGTTTCCAAAACCACCATGGTTTGATACTAAACGCGTTTTGCAAAAAGGGGAAAAAAAACGGTGGTATGGGAAAATGAGAGGGCGCCCTACACGACGTCACGGCCAGTAGGCTTAGCCTGAGTCCTCTGACGTGGCAGCCGTAACTGCTGCGCTTTAATTTGAAATTGTGCAGTGGGTATTTTCATGTTCAAATTTGACATAATCTCACATCCTTTAAACGTTTTTGCTAAATTTGACTATGAAAATTGTCATTGTAACACCCAACTTTCTAATGCATCTTTAGAGTACTAAAGTAGCTGTATCAAATGGTGCTAATTACATTCAACTTTTAGACCGAAAATAATGAGCAATGTGCAAAAATATGAAAACAGGTTTTCTGTAAATATGTCAGAATCTAGCATATACCAACCTCATAGAAACAGTTTCCAGTGATGCATTGCGGTTTTGCAATCAATTTGATTCTATATGTATCATAGGAAAAGTCTTCATTTTTGAGGTAAAAAATACGATCGTTTGATTTTTAAGAATTTTCCCTTACTAGTACACATGAAAAAAGGAGAATTTTCATGGATTTGCGATGACCTAGAAAAATTTGAGATAAGGCGTCAGTAAGTAAGGCGTATCAAAGCAGAGCCATTTGACGCTATTCCAAGCATTCGCAACGCTTTCTAGCATGAGTTATTCGTGCTTCAAAATGGCTATATTTAGACAGAATTTGACCTAAAAATAGGCGTAATAGGTTGTGTCGACGAAGAAGTAAATAAATTAATGCTCTTTCTGGTATTTCTAATGTTTTGCATTGTACAGAACTCGATACCTAAGCGATCGACACTTGTATTATTTGAAGTGAACTAGACTAGATTCCCATCATAAACAAAGCCCAAAATAAATGTCATCTCAATCAAACCATGCTACCATCATCAGCAGATAGGCATGCATAATAATAGTATTAGCATGACGATAGCAAGGATTAAATGCTCTAAAATAAGAGATGACAGATACTAAAGTAAATGTCAAGGGTATTGTAATGTGTTGTAACATAAATATACCTAAAAAGGATACAGGCTCAACAATAAAGAGCTATTCTTTACGCATGATTCAAAAACCATATATTGAAATACCGTTCTTGATCCATCAGATCAACAACTAAATGACCCAACAAAAATATATAAAGTAATGGAATCATTGGCAACTACTAAACTGCTGCCAGATAAGAGATATAAACCAAATAATATAAATAGAGACGTAGAATATACATTTTATTGCACATTATCCTAATTTCGAATAAAGAAGGATTTTAACAGTATTCTACCTGATTTTTTAACCCCCTTTTTACTGCACTTTTATATATTCTAAAGCAAGACAAGGTGCAACCACCATTTGATCTAGCATCCATTAAATGCTTTTATATGAGGGATGTCTCTTAAATTTATTATATGGTAAAAAAAAAGAAAAAAGAAAAAAGAAAAAAAAACTTGTATAATAGTAGGTACTAAACAGCTCTATACTAGGCACAGGATTCTCCCAGCAATATCAAAAGTCCCGCCAAACATGCGTTGTTTATCATTGATTTCCTACAAGCTTCAGTTTCGTGGGTTGCTATCTTTTACCTCATATCAAAGATTTTGGATGTACAATAATATTTCCGGCTTCGAGATTTGGGCCATTCAAATCCAAGTTTTGAAATACTGGTACTAGAGCTATAAAAGTAGCATGATGCTATAGCGAAATGTTGCGAGAAAAGCGACAGTGTAATTGGATTTCAGGTTGGATGGGCTGTTGTTGCTGATGACTGATGAGAAATTGGCGATTTTC